GGTTGTCAGGCCTCTTCAGCTTGCCTTGCCTCCATGCTTTCCCAGCAGGAAGGCAGTTTGCAGCCTGGACCTGGGAAGCACTTCATAAATGCTGACAGAAGCTGGGCACAGTGGCATATCCCTGCAATCCCAGAATTTAGGAGACTGAGGCAGGAAGATCCACACAAGTTTAGGGTCAGCCTGGGCTACGCAGTGAGACCCTGTCTCCAAAAAACCGAAACAAAACAAAAAACCAACAAAACAAAACACTGACAGAACCAACACCTTGTTTTTCCAGTTTCTTCATCTGTTTTAACCATGAGACTTTGCTCTGCCCAGGTTTTGCTTTCCAAAAATAGACTCTTGGCAGGACATCAATTTGCTGGCATCACTGAGACTGTGCAGTCTGTTGGTGGGGCAGCTTCAGAGCTATTCCAGAAGTCCAGTTTAGAATTTTTCAGGTCAGTGCTATGGCTTGTGTCTAGATGTCCCTGCAAAGCCTCCTGCAGTCATAGATGGGCTTTTGTCAAAGGTGGCTGGATCTAGAATGTGTGAGGCTGGGACTGGCTCGTGGTGCAATGCTAGGGTCAAGGGCACTAGGGTTAAGGGTATGAGTGCTGGGCCGGCGAGACAGCTCAGCGGTCTCAAGTGCCTGCTTAGGCAAGCTTAGGCAACTGCAGGGATCGCAGTTAGATACCAGCACCACATGCCACGCCCCCAGGGCAGGCTGAACTGGACACATACACACACACACGGTATAAGTGTCACCCACCCTAAGTAGCTTGGATAAGATATAAGGGATAGAAAGAGTTGTGGCTGTCCTTTGCTTGGTTGCTTCGCCATCTGCCCCCACGAACTGTCTCTCCTCTGTGATGCCACCCTGCCTTGGAGCCAGCTGATTATGGACTGAAACCTCTATAAACTGTGAGCCAAATGAGCCTTTCCTCCTTTAATTTTGGGTGTCATGTATTTTGCCTCAACGATGAGAGAAAAATAAGAAGACAAAACCGATACGGACTGCTTAAAATCATTTCACTTAGCTGGGCACAGAGGCACACACCTACAGTCCTAGAACTCTGGGAAGCTGAGGCAGGAGGATCACAAGTTCCAGCCCAGCCTGGGTAACTTAGTGACTTAGCGAGAACCTGTCTCATAAAGGTGGCAGTGGAGAAGGTGTCACTGCACAGGCCTTGAGTTCAATCTCCAGCACAGCAAATAAATAAAATAAATTCACTCTTTCAATGAGTTCTTAGGTAGAAACTTGTTCTGTTACTACCTGATGTAGCTCTACACTATAAAAAGACTTTAAAATAACCTAGTACCTCCTTGGAAACTTTTGCCATCATACTTCTTTGGAACTGAAAAATGAGAATGCAAAATACCTTGGGAATAGTGGTGAATGCCTATAATCTAGCACTTGGGAGGCTGAGGCAGGAGGATTGCCATGAGTTTGAGACCAGCCTGGGCTATGTAGTGATACCTATCTCTCTCTTTTTTTTTGGCAGAACTGGGGATTGAACTCAGGCCCCTGTGTGATACCAATCTCTTAAAAGGAAAGGGAAGGGAAAGAGAAAGGGAAAGGAAAGGAAACTCATAGCAACAATCCCAGTCCTCATTCTCATGTACAGCTGCTAGGGACACTGGCGTCAGGTTCAGGGCACTCACCCTGACCGGCCTGACCCCCAGGGACACTGATTCCTGGACTCTTGAGTGGCACAGTCAAATGGGAAGAGGCAGTTTTAAATGCCAAGCCTGATCAGAGACTGAGGTGTGTAAAGAATGACACAGGGCCAGGGAGATAGCTCAGGGGACTAAACACCTGCTTAGGCAAGTTCAGGGACCAGAGTGCGATCCCCAGTACCACATGTGCTGGCCCTCCCCCTGGGCATACTGAGCTGGCCACAGAGACGGGGCATGGTGGTGCATGCCTGTGATCCCAGCACTGGGGAGGCTGAAACAGGTGGATCACTACAAGTCCCAGCTGCATAGTGAGATCCTGTACCAAATACATAATTTAAAAAAAAAACAGGACTTGCAAAGGACACTGTCGGTGGTGACTACACCCCACCCATCTGTTGCTCCCAAACAGGGCTCCTTCTTTCCTTCTCCAGGACTTTGGCCGTCTCCTCCTCAACGCAGTGACACCGTCTCTGAGCATGTGTTGACATGCTTGCACGTTCAGTGCCTCCGTGTCCATGGCATGTCCAGCCCCTGCCATGGCCTCCATCGACAGCCTCGGTGACCATCTCAGCCACTCACCAGACCATTTTGTGACAAGGCCTGTATCACAGAGGGGCCAATCCATGTACCCCTGATGTCTGTGTCTCTGCAATGATGCCTGCTGCCTCCCGGGTCTTCAAACCACTCTAAGGTCAGTAAATGTGTGGAGTCACAGTTACTCCTGCAAGTCCCTTCTGCAGCTCAATGGATAAGGGACAGGACCCTCACAGGACAGTGAGCAATTGAAAGCCCAAGCGGTCCTGCCTCCCTCAACTGTGCTGGGCTGTGGCTCTGGGTGGCCTAGCCTGCAGGGCCCTAACCTAGGGGTCCTTCCTCCCATCCACAGCCCCCATCCACTGCCCACTTCACTTCACTGTGGCCCTCGTCCTCATCTGCAGGACAAGGCAGTGGCAGTGGCTGAACAATAACACTATTTCTGAGGCCATCATTCAAACATCTGACCTAGGAAAAGCCCATAACCATGGACCTGGGCAGGGTACTAAGGATCACAAGCTCTAAAACATGTCTAAATAGCACCATAAATCAAGGTAATGCACTTACATCTACTCAGACACAAAACTGGAGGATGGCAGAACCCAGGGGATTTACCATCTCTGCTTCTTGCAGTTTTGGCATCCTTTGGACAACTGGCCAGCAGCTCACAGCTCTCTCCAGGAGACCCCTCTGCTCTACGCCCCCCACTCCCTGTCCTGGTGTGGCAGCTGCCCTGGATGCCGCCTCCAGACCCTTTCCTCCCTGCAGCAATGTAGGCTTCTGGCTTCCGGGCCAGGCCCTGACTGACTGCTACACGTTTCACGAGTGCTTTTCAGCAAAACAGCTTTTAAATTCACACATCAGTTCTACTATTTTCTAAATTACTCATTTTGCTTTTACAAATACTATAGCTTCCTCAATGGCATGCCGGTAATTCAGCTCTCCGGAGGAAGAACCAACTCTGCTTTGCAACATTTGCCAATTTCCAAGATGTAAATACTCCCACCATAGTAATTTCAAGCTATCAACATGACAACGCTGAGCACGGAGCTGGGGAGAAGCTACAGGATCAGCTCTCCTGAAGAGGCGGAAATGACTGAGGAGACTCCAGGAAATGCTGGGAATGGTCCCATCTTGAAACTGAAAAATTAAATGTCTTCAAAATGTAATACTCTACTAACTTTACTGTTAACAAGTGATCAAAAATTCGATCCCAAGAAATCATTCCTTTCTGAGCTGGTGTGGGGGTCTAAGCTTCTAGTTCCAGCAACCCCAATCGCCTGGGCTCAGTGCTTTTGAGACCAGCCTGGGCAATACAGAGGGACCACGACTCAAAAGCAAAACAAAACAAAAGCCCCACCAAACATGGGCAGGTTGGTACACATCTGTAAGCCCAGTGATTTGGGAGGCTGAGTAGAAAGATCCCAAGTTCAAGGCCAGTCTTAGTAAAACTAACTTAGTCACCTTTCCCATTGCTGGGACAAAATAACTGACGCCCAAAGTTAGAGGACGAAAGGTTTATTTGGCTCACTGTTGGTGGAGGTTTCAGTCCATCATCAGCTGGCTCCGAGGCAGAGTGGTGTGGCAGAGGGGATGCAGCCCACAGCAGGCAGAAGGCCGCAAGCAGCAAGGGGCCTCAGCTGCTGCTTTCTGCCCTTTTTATACTATATCTAGGCTACTTGGATTAGGGCGGTGCCAAGCCATCAGTACTGATTTAGTAATCACCTACCCTTAATCCCAGCATCACACACATCACACCATCAGCTTCTTCTGAAAAAGCCTCACCTATCCCCACACCAGGCTTTGGAGGGACACCCAGACACAAATCGTAGCAGCAATTTAGGGAGAACTTGTCTCAAAAACAAGAAAGAAAAGGCTGGGGCATAGCTGTGTGAAGGCCCTGGGTTCGGGCTCCAGTATCAATAAATAAGTGAATAAATAAACAGCAACACCCACTAGTGTTGTTGTAGATCAGCAATCAATAATTTCAAAAGCACGATTCCTGAGAACTCTTTATAAATGCTACCGTGAGAAACTGTACATGACAGCAGATGAGCATACCCTTTAATACCTGCTAGAAGAAAATGCTCGTGAAGTTCTAAGGAGAGGTCTCAGGCCTTTCACCTCCTGGGGGGCAGGATTCACCAGCTCTGCCTGTGCTGCCAGGCTGGTGACAGCTGGCTTCTGTTCTCCCATTAACCCCTTTAGCAATATGTTCAGTATCTGAACAGTCTCAACCTCACATGCAAGAGAAATGCAAACTGAAGCTACAGTAACCACTTTGTGTTTACCAGACAGGCAAAGGCCAAGGAGGTGGTAAACAGGCTGCTGGGGAGGGCAAGGGACAGAGGCCAGCCCTTTGCTAGCAGTGGGAGCAGAAGCTGGCACAGTATGGGGGGGTGCTTTGGCAGTGTTTATCAAACCGAAAATGCACACGTTCTCTGCCTCAGCAATTTTATTTTATTTTTTTAAATTTTATTTATTTATTTATTTGTGGGGGGGGGCAGCTCAGCCCACCAGGGGGCGGGGCTGGCTGGCATGTGGTGCTGGGGGATTGAACCGCGGTCCCAGTACTTTGCTAAGCTTGTTCCAAGTAGGTGCTTTAGACCACTGAGCCATCTCACCAGCCCCTCAGCAATTTTATTTTTAGAAAGTTTATCATATAGATATACTGCTCATGCATACAAAAGCTGCTCATTCTGCTACTGGTAACTGCAAAAGAACAGCACCCTTTTTTTTTTTTTTTTTTGGTGGAACTGGGGATTGAAGCACCCTTTTTTTTGAGATAGTATTTTGTTTTGTAGTTCAACTGGCCTTGAACTCATGGCAATCCTCCTGCCTCAGCTTCCCAAGAACTGGGATTACAGGTGTGCATCACCACGACCAGCTCCATCAATGCCTTCATTGTACAAAGCAGAAAACAGGCTGAGAGAGGTTGGCTGACTTACCTGAGCCCTCACAGTCGGCAGCAGGGCCCTGCACCGTGGCCTTCTGATCTGGTACCCACCCCACTCTCCCAACCCTGAGTCAACAGGTGGCATGAGGGTCCACCCAGTCCCACACATGCACAGAGGCATCACTGGCTGCTGATAACAAAGTCCTGGGTTTGCAGGGGTGCCAGGAGTGGGTGGTGACCAGCGGAGCAGCATCCCCCTCGCCTTCCTCTAGGAAGATATGACCTCTGTGGGTGAAGAGCGGCTCCACTCGGCTCCCCACTCCCTCCCAAGATGTGACATCATAGACCTGGACAGTTCCATCAAAGCCTGAGGAAGACACAGAGCACAGGGTCACTCATGAGCCACAGAAGCCCTTTCTTGAGTAGTGGCAGCCAAAGAGGCTATTGTGGGCTGGGGATATAGCTCAGTGGCACTGTGCCTGCCTGGCAGGCTCAAAGTCCCAAGTTTAATTTCCAGTACCAAAAAAAAGAGGCTAAAGTGGAGGTCCTCCTCTGCTGTTCTTTCTGGTCAGCCCCTGGGCCCCTCCTCATCTGCCCTACTCCCCAATGGGCCCTGCCCGAGCCCTAAATCTCAGGGGTGCAGACCATAGCCACTTGGTAGCCAGGGTGCACAGTGGGCAAGAGGTTTACTATGTAGCTCCTTCTGAGAAGCAGTCTCCTCCAGGAACTGCTGGTTCCTCCTGATCCGGCTCCTATTCTCTGAGACACCAGACCCTGCTCAGCAATACCTGAGATGGCCAGGCAGTTGTCTAGGCCTGGGGCCCATGTCACTCGCAGCAGCTCCGGGTTGGGACTTGGTGTGGACACCGCACACTGGACTGAGCTCAGGGGGTGGCAGAGATCTCGTGTGTCGAGGAGACGGAGCTGTCCATCTGCTCCCAGGCTGGAGAAGCAGGGCCCAGGGCCCTGGTCCCCAACCCTTACTTCTGCACACCATCTCTGGCCACCAGAGCCAGGACTTTGACCAGGGTTTTCCAAAGGTGCCCACGGCTGGCGGGTATCGACCAGCCCTAGGCGGCCTGAGATGCAGCAGAACGCAAAAGTGGCACCATCAAGGACCTGAAGACTGCTCAGCTCCTCACCGTCACTGACACCTGCAAGAGGAGAGCTGCCGGGGTACCAAGGCCTGGCACGGGCATGGCTGGCTGGCATTCCCATGCCCTCTAGCACCGCCCAGCCCTGGCTTGGGCCATCTCCTGGGCGGTGTGGGAGCCCTGGGCAGGGGTCTGCACTCAGCCACTGGAGCTGTGCCAAGGGTGGGTGCTGGCTGGGGATCAGCAGGGCACACACTCAGTACCTGAGGTGTACGTGGTCTCCCCAGATTCCAGATCCACCACCTGCAGACTGCTGAGCCGCGCCCCATGAAGGACTCTGGGTGTCGAGGAGAAGACAGCTAGCCTAGACCAGAGATCCCCCACTTCCTTTCGTACGGGAACAGTGCTGACAGCTTTAATGACATCTGGGGGAAGGGAAAGCAGGAGTCTAGGATACCAGTACAGGTCTGCAATCCTCTACAGGGGCCTGCAGCCCTCTTCCTGGGGACAGAAAGATGCGGGGAAATGGATGGGGAGTTGGCAAGAGAGACCGCTGAGACACAAGCACTGGGTCATGGCACGTGTGTGTGGTACAAGGGACTGGACACCAGGCCTCTGCATTGAGCTACACCTCCAGTCCCTTTTCTTTTGGGAGATTGGGTCCTGTTAAGTCACTAAGCTGCTCAGGCTGAGCTCAAACTTGTGATCTTCCTGCTTCAGCTTCCCAGAATGCTGGGACTGCAGGCATGCATTTGGCAGACTGACATTTTTAAAACTGTCAGAATCACTGTGATTTCTTTCTTTCTTTCTTTTTTTAAACATTTATTTATTGTGTTTGTGTGTGTGTGTGTGTGTGTGTGTGTGTGTGGCCAGCTCAGCCCACCAGGGGGCGCAGCTGGCTGGCATGTGGTGCTGGGGGATCGAACCGTGGTCCCTGTACTTTGCCAAGCTTGTTCCAAGTAGGTGCTTTAGACCACTGAGCCATCTCTCCAGCCCCTGTGATTTCTTTCTAAACTGTGTTACAAACTGCTTTTGCAGCTGGCAAACAATGGATTATTGTAGCTAACTCTGAACTCTACCAGCCATTCTGACTTGTTTAGGGGAGAACAGTGAGGGAAAGCAGGCACACTTTGCTGACATCACCCCTTCTGTGCAAAACAGGCACAGATTTCACGAACCAATGTTTCTTCAAAAACATGTTCCACAGCCTCTGACTACTTGAAGTGTTTTTTTTTTTTTTTTTTTTTTTTTGCGCTGAATGCCTTCAAGGCATGACTGGCTGTATTGTGTTGTGGGGATCGAACCCAAGCAACCTGAGCCTGACTGTTTTGTTGAAGCAGCCACTTAAAGAACAGAGCTACTGGGCCGGGCCCCAGTCTCTGACTACTTGCTAAAACTTGGCAAGCAGAGGTTACATGGCACAGGAACTTGTGCTGTGCATTTTACTCCACGAGGCGAAGCCAGCTGCCATGCTACTGGGTGAGTCTGGACCCGTGAAGCTAGCAGACTTTGGTGTTTGTCCAAAGATGAGTAAAAAGGTGCGGTACAAGGGGACACAGCAGCTGAGACAGCTGATGCCACTTTCCCTGCAGTAGTGTATCCCCTGGACAAGAATGTGGTGGGTTGTGTACTTTACATGAAATGCTTGTAGGCGATACAGCTTTCTGTGCAGTCTTTTGATTAGAACTTACAGTAAGATCATGAGCCACAAACACTGGCTATTCTTCTCTGATGATAATGATGTATGGAAGAAGAAAAACCTAGTGTCTCCCTTACTGACAGAGAAGTGAGTCTAGGGAGAAATGGTGTAGAAGAAATCAAAGGACATCTTTTCTTAACAAATGAACAGTAGGGCTGGGATCAGTGGCCCATGTCTGCACTTGGAAGGTTGAGGCAGGATTGCCACAAGTTGAAGTCCAGCCTGAACTATATAGTGAGCTCCTGTCTCAAAAATCAAATAAACTGCAAGATAGTTCAGCGGTCTAAGGCACCCACTTAGGCAAGCTTAGGCAGCTGCAGGAGACC